TGGCTCAGGGCCACTTCAGAAATTTCTGAAATGGCCCCTGGCAAAAAATTATTGCCCACCCCTGGGCTAAAGCAACCTGACCCAGCAGGCAGAGACCACTCTAGCTTGTCTGCTCCTGGCCTCCTCCGTGGCTCCTAGCCTCCACACAGGGGCTACAACTACTTCCACAACTCCTGGCCCCCCTACAGGGACTGCTGCTACCACAACTTCCAGCCTCCACATGGGGGTGCCGCGGCTGCCACTGCTGGCCCTGTGTGGGAGCTGCCAACTCTCAGGCCACGTACTGGGGGTGGGGAAGAGAGAACGGGCAGGGGGAGACTGGTGCAGCAGGAGAAGCCCTTTGCCTCCAGCTGGGCCAAGTTTGGGTAACTGTGTAACCTGTTAACATCCCTACTTTGTACATAGCACAATGGTTTCGTATGCATCACTTTTATTTTATTTTTTTCATTTCATAGGCTGGTCGTTTGCTGATAAGAAAATTAATTGCAGAAAAACTGTTGATACCTTGGAATGAAATACACTTGCAAAGAACATCAAAAGGGAAGCCTTTCCTGGTGAACGACATACTCAGTGTTCATCCCAATTTTAATTTTAATGTTTCTCATCAAGGGGATTATGCAGTTCTTGCCTCTGAGCCTGAGCTTCAAGTTGGCATTGATATAATGAAGACTGATTTGCCAGGTATTCTATTACTATTACCAGAGCAAATTTTACAGAGTGTAACTATTGAGCATTTTAGGGTTTTCATCAAAATCAATCAAACTCGTTGCAATTTAGTGTTGCTGAAACAGAAAGAGTTAGCACATTTGATTTTTTTAAAACATGGATTGAATTTATTTCTGTAAAGTCCCTGAAAGATATATTGTAATTTTTATGTTGCATTTCTGATTGTGGAGCTTTTTGTTTATTTTTCCAAGTTTGAAATACAGGCAGTCCCCGAGTTACGCGGATCCGACTTACGTCGGATCCGCAGTTACAAACGGGGCTTTTCTCACCCCAGAGGACCGGAGCGGCAGGACGCCCAGATGCGCCACAGTCCGCAGCCCCCATCCTCCGGGGCGAGAAAAGCTGCTCCCCATCTCCCTGGTCTGCAGGGAGACGGGG